TTCTGGGCTTTTTGTTGCTAATATTGCATATTTGAAACTAAGTTTGCATGAAAGATCATAGATGAGCAATGTAATTTTAATTTAGAAGGATTTAACACACACACACACACACACACACACATTTTTTTGAACTCTTTCTATCCTCGTGTAGTTCTCTCAAACCTCTTCGAGAGGTGGTAGCGGCAATGGTGAGTAAATTAAAGGAAATCTAGCTTTATTACTTGACATAAACTGTATTTGTTCAACAAATTTATTGTGAAGAAATTTGAAATAAGTTTTATTGTCTAGATGCATTATAAAATTAAATACACAACGAAGTTGTTGCGATTTTAACATTAAACCTGATTGTTGACTCAACGAATGCACATTAAACAAACGAATCTCAGCACTTTCTTGAATATGTGACATAATGTATCACCAACAAAACAAGGGCATTTACCCACACCCCCACCCCCCCCCACAAATGAATGGTGGAAGCTAAACTACCCCCCCCCCAACCCATGCCTCCCCTGGACCTAGGTCCAGGCAGTCCTGCGTGGAATTATTTAATTGGAGTGTTGACTATTTTTCTTGAATATGTAACATAATGTATCACCAACAAAACCAGGGCATTTACCCACACCCCCCCCCCCCCCCCACAAATGAATGGTGGAAGCTAAACTACCCCCCCCCAACCCATGCCTCCCCTGGACCTAGGTCCAGGCAGTCCTGCGTGGAATTATTTAATTGGAGTGTTGACTATATTTTATTAGTAATACAAAAAAAAGGGACAGTTAAGTTGTTTTTTTAACGCTGCCGTCCTCTCATTGCAGATTTCGATAACAAACGGTTACAATATCCGTAACAGCCTAAAAATTCTTTATTTTTCCTCAAATCAAATTACGAAATAAAGAGATGGAAATTGTGTTTTTTTTAAAATTCCTTTTAGTTGGCCCATAATGTGTATTAAGTGATTATTTTTTTTTTTTTTTAAGTTTAGAAATCTGACAGTTGACGTTAAGATTGGGTTGTCCAAAATGTGTACTATGTGGTCAATCATTACTTTTGGATTCGATTTTTATTTTCTTCCTTTCCAAAATTACATATATTATCCGGAGGAATTCAAAACCCAGCCCCCGGGGGGGGGGGGGGGGGGGGTGGGGGGGTCATAAATCCAAATTAAGACTGGAATCAACGGCTACCCCCTGGTCCCCCCGCCCTTCCCTTTTTTTTTTTTTTTTTTTTTTTTTTTTTTGATTTACAGGCTGATAACTATCCATCATCCTTCCCCAATCAGAATAGGTATAGGTTACGGAGATAATGAGATGGAAAGCATGTTCAAAACTGAAATAAGTCAATGAATGATTCGGCTTTAAAGCACACATTTTCAGCTTATCTTTTCAGAATAAAGTTAGTGAAATTAATTTTTTTTTTCTTAGAATTGTATTTGTTTTTGGAAATACGTGACAAAAAGGAATTAAACAGAATGGTGAACACTTTACAGTTTACTGGTTGTTTTTTTTTTTCATTTGCGTTAATTGTTATATTGTAATGTGATTACATTGTTACGTTATTATATTGTTACATGATTATTTTGTTATGTCATTATATTGCTTTGTTCTGATTTTAGCATGTTGCTATATTATTATGTTATAATACTGTTGTGTTCCGCAGTGATTGAACTGAATGACGGCTGAACTCCGGTAATAAGGCGCTGTCTTTTTTTTTTTTTTTTCTTTAACCCATCGCTCTTTATTAATCAATAAGGAGCCACTGGTATGGCGTAGGACTGTTTGTAGGACCGGTTGAAGTACTGTCGTTAGGCCTATTGCTTAAAAGACGTCCGGTGGGGGTGTAGAACTGCCTGTAGATCTAGTGATTAAAGACCGGCAGGTAAGGTGTAGGAATGTCTTTAGGAGAAATGTTAAAACAGGTAGCGCGTCGGATTATGTCTAGGGCTATTGTTTAAAAACGGCCAGGTTAGCTGTATTTAGGACTATTGTATAAAGACAATGAAAAGTGTACTCTTTGTTTGGTTTTTTTTTGGTAACACTTAAACTCAGGGGATATTTTCTCAAAATAATTGGACTCGATTAAAAAACAATGCACACGGTTAAACCCGAGTATTATATACTCCCCACGCAAAAGTAAAAATAAAGTGTGTAGCAGAAGAACAAAGAGACCTGACGCAAAACAACAGAGAAGAATAGGTGAAATAAAAAAAAACTGATGTGCATAGAAAACTCATGGAGGCAGAAGTCTCAATGGCGGTCTTGTGGGCTATTATGTAAATTAGGTATGAAAAGAAAGTATCTCGATAATTATGTCACGTAAGTAATATAGGCACTTGTAACTCATTTGAATCGTATTCCCACGTGGAACCATTTTAACGCACATAAGATATAGATCCAGACTGTGTGGGGGAAAAAGCAAAATAAAAAATATGTTCTATCCAACTTTGGCCCAGCTGTTTGAAGAACTCTAATTATCCTTTCTGGCCCAGCTGTTGAAGAACTCTAATAATCCTTTCTGGCCAGCTGTTTGAAGAACTCTAATAATCCTTTCTGGCCCAGCTGTTTGAAGAACTCTAATAATCCTTTCCGGCCCAGCTGTTTGAAGAACTCTAATAATCCTTTCAGTCGCTTCGTGTCACTCCAAAAAAGTCTAACAGTAAACTTTGCACCGAACACATTTGGCTTATTTTCCAGGGATGCCTTATTTTTAAAGAAAACAAAATAAATTTATTTATCACCATCGAAAATCTACAATTTTTAATCCGTTACAACAATCAACATTTATTCAACTATTACTACAAACTCTATTTATACACCTACTAAAACAATCTATATTTAATATTCTACAAAAGGAATCTTAATTTTTTCTTCAGCTAGAAGAATCTAGATTTATTTTAAATTTATATTAAATCTACCAGTATTCAAATACCATAATGCCATCATCTCCTTCTATGCCTGTGCACCGGTCAAGGATTGGACAAACAATTCTGTGTAAAGTTTTAAATGGCGATACGAAACAACTTGCATTACGCCAAGGTAAGCTGCGTTGGATGAACCATCCGTACAATGACACACGTGATATGTCAGATTACAATAACATGTTGAACAAACTAAATTGTATAATCTCTTCCGCCCATGATATCAAAGACCAACATTCACAATCAGACGAACCATCAGTGACCATTAACCAATGACGACCTATCAACCACGGTGTTTTTTGTTAAACCGGCTAAATCAAATAAAGGCCCCCTACTCACTAAGACAATGAAACAGAAAATGGCTGAAATAATTTAAATTGTGTTTAATTGGGTAAAGCCTGTCCAAAAGTGCATGAAGTTTAAAAATTTAAATATTCGACACACATTACATCTTTTTAAATTCAATCTTTGAAATACATTAAATAATATTTAAATTGGAATTTGCATTGACGCATACATGGGCGCCCGCAGAAAACTTTCTGGGGGTGGGGGGGGGGGAAATCGATTAACTTTCCGGGGGGGGGGGGGAACCTTTTTTGGACATGACATCAGCTTAGTTACTTTCTCTTTATTTTCTCTTTACTTTAATACATTTTTGTCCATTTTTGTCTAAACATTTTTTATCCAATCCATCCGGGGGGGGGGGGAATTGCCCCCCCTTGCCCTCCCTGCGGGCGCCCATGTACGTATATAACTTTTATGATGGACCGGCAAAAAATATTTTTACAACATGGAAACACAAACACTTTTTAAAATATTATTTGCGTTACACGTATACATTGTTTATTTTTTTAAATCGGAAAGTCCGGAAAAAGCAAAACTTATTTAAATAGGCAATGCTGGACACGCAACAAATACTTTTAACAACATACCATATTTATTAAATAAAGTTTTTTTTTAGCAATAGCTGCACAGGAACATAATAATTCACCCCTCTGTTTCTGAAATTCGAGGACCATTTAAGAATTTGTATGTTTTTGCATCTCTTACATGTATACACATGTAATTAAAGCAATTACGCCTACCTCATTCTAGCCCCTTCCACAATATTAAAACACTTTGAATTTATCAATTAAAATTTTGGATCAGGAAAAAATCCCACGCCCCTTGTTCGAGAGAGAGAGAGAGAGAGAGAGAGAGAGAGAGAGAGAGAGAGAGAGAGAGAAACTGAGAGAGAGAGAGAGAGAGAGAGAGAGAGAGAGAAAGAGAAAGAGAGAGAGAGAGAGAGAAAGAGAAAGAGAGAGAGAGAGAGTAAAAAACCACGCCCCCTGTGCGAGAGAGAGAGAGAGAGAGAGAGAGAGAGAGAGAGAGAGAGAGAGAGAGAGAGAAACTGAGAGAGAGAGAGAGAGAGACAGAGAGAGAGAGAAAAAGAGAGAGAGATATTTTTCGACATTGAATGCAATGTTATAACAAGGCTCGTGAAATGTCAGCAAAACCAAGAATGGGAAAACTCGAAAAATAGTGCGCAACAGTAAAAAACATATATTAAAAAAAAAGTAAAAATAATAATAACTAGTTATAGCCCGCCAAACATTGGCGACGGCAATGCGTGAACTTCCCATCTACTAAAGTTACTTGACAAAACATGAACTCAAGTATCGCACATTTATGAATTCCAATTTTTGCTACCACCCCACCCCCCATGATACGTCACTGCACACTTTTTTTTTTCACGCCCATGAACTATATTAAATATTCTGATGTCACAGACACTTTTAAACTGAATATTTTTTTTTTACACCATACTTAAATTGAGACGATTTCATGCATCGAAATATATTACGCACCAAACGGAGTTGCGTTATTATTAGCGTAGTTATCGGGAATTATATTTTTGCGCGCTAGTGAACTCATTATCTATATATTGCCTGCGTGGTGGTGCTTGACCGTTGCTGGCAATTGATATATAAAAAAAAGATGTATTTTTTTACTGTTGCTTGTTGGCAAAAGAAGAACTCTTGCCGGCACGTTCGTTGCTTTGTTGCGTAATTTTATTCAGATTTTCCCATACTTGGTATCGCTTATTTCATTAAGTCTCGAAAAGGGACTTAAAAGCCCTGCTAACTGGCTTGTACGTGCAGTAGATCATTGGATTTAACGCAGAGTTGCTGTACGTGATCCACAGCACCAGAATCTCAGACCACAGTGGAAAGCTTAAACCCTGTCCAAATAACCAAGCCATGTAAATCCACGCCGGCAACCAGCATAGCGTGTAGCAAATCATCATAAAGCCGACGGTGCGAACAGCTCTGAACATTTTTGATCGTCGGGGCGCAACAATTTGAGCAGATTCTTGTTTCTTATCCTCGGTTGCTGCAGGAGGATCGTATGCTACTGAGCTACAAGACGCACCGTCTCCTGGACAAAAACCAGGTTTCTGGGAACCAGCTTGGCCAACGTCAGCAGGTTTATTCTTTTTAGATTTATAATCTTTACTACGTGTTTGGCTGTTTTCAAACTTTTTAGTTTTTAAACTTCTCGGTGATCTTTTGTGATATCGGTAAACTTCAAGAAGTAAGAAGCCGTTAAGAAGATAAGAAACGTAGAACGGTGAATTCCATAAGAAATAGTTTGCAAGAACGAATATTTTATCTGTTAAGATATTATCGTCAGGTTTAATCAGGGACGAAGCGTTGTAATGTGGAGCTATCACATCTACCTGAGTCTCTAAAAAGATTTGTTTTTCTACTAAGGTTAGGCTTGTCAGTAACCAGGTTACAGCAGTCATAATTAATCCTGTCCTGTACGTCAACACTCTGTATTTGAGAGGCTTGCATATGGCGATGTATCGGTCGATAGACAGACACATGACATGGATCATGAAGTTTATGCCAAGGAATTGATTACAAGCATGGCGTGCACGACAGAATCTTTCCCCTAAGGGCCACTCTCCGTTGTGAATCATCTCTAAGACTCCCATTGGCATGACTGAAATGCCATAAAGTGACCCAACAGCGGCCATGGATGCAATCAGTATCTGAGTAGTCATGTTGTCGTTTGTAGAATTTTTATTGTGCGCATTGAAGAATGAACTTAAAATAGCTGAGATAATAATTACGTTGAAAACAATTGTCAAACTTGTGATGACTGCTAGCAGCAGTGCTGACACAGTTAGAGCGCTAAGATTCGATGTAATGGTCTCATTAAAGGGAACCAAATAAGCCCTAATGACGCTACAATGGGGGAAAGTCATTTGGGATTCTTCCTGTAAGGAAATAAAGAATATTATATTTTAATCACAATTATTTCTAAAGGCATTCAAAATTTGATCTAAAACTCCGGTTCAAAAGTTAATTATTTAAACTATAGTTGTTTGACGGGAAATTTTTCCCTCAGTAAATTGTTCTCAAGTAAATTAATTAATTTATTTAGTTCAGAAAATGGAAAAAAAAAATTCTAAAAAATCCCCTTTTATGTTTTTACTTTGAAAGATTAGGAGAAAATGGTGGAAATTTAAATATTCAACATTAATTTGTGTGTACCTGTTAATGGTTCCATAACGATATTTAAGAAAAAAAATTTAAAAATTTAATAATACAATTAAAAATTAAAATTTTTATGGTAAAATTATTATTTCCCAATCTAAATCAGCCAAAATTAACGATGACACCATAGTGTTTTGTTATTACCCACGTTTTAACTAGCACAAAAATCACCCTATAACACCGTGAGACATTTGGGGATATTTTTGTGATAAGGGTCTGGTGCGCTCCTGCAAAGAAAGTCGTGGAGGCGGGTCAAGAGAGTTAGGGGACACAACGCTGTGTTACTTCAGAACGTTTTTATGTATCTTGAAATGTATAACGTTGGTTATGTACCTTGACGTTATTGTTTGATGGAACGCTTTGAATCAATTAGTCTGATCTCAGTGGGCTTTAGAGAGACCTGAAACTTTTCAGACTTGGTTGCCTCCCTTAAAAATATGACTAAGTAAAATACTCATCAGACCTACGGTTGTTTGCTCGAAAATTTTAAATATTTGTTTGAATACAGACGAAAGTCAATGGCTGAGCTGACCTAGGAGTGCATGTGGCTGACATATTACAGATGTGTTTTAATAGATACGCCAATTTTTATTATATGTATATATGAAAAATAATATCATTTTAAATGAAGTTAAAATGTTAATATATTTTTAGTTTAGCTCCTGAAAAGATCTCGTGAAAGTAAGCTACTTGTATAATACATTTATCTACGCCAATCAAAGTATTGATACAATCTTTAGAAACCTGAAGTTTTCTTGTTTCTTAAAATTCTTCAAAATGTAAGAAATTAATTAAATTTATATTGAATAAGAGTACATTTTATAACTTATTATTATTTTTATTTGGTTGTTTTAAATAACACAGTACCCCAGCCTGGGGCTAGGCTCACTGCAGTACCCCGGTCTAGGGCTAGGCTCACTGCATCTAGGGCTTGGCTCACTGCAGTACCCCAGACTAGGGCTAGGCTCACTGCAGTACCCCAGACTAGGGCTAGGCTCACTGCAGTACCCCGGCCTAGGGCTAGGCTCACTGCAGTACCTCAGACTAGGGCTAGGCTCACTGTAGTACCTCAGACTAGGGCTAGGCTCACTGTAGTACCTCAGACTAGGGCTAGGCTCACTGCAGTACCACAGACTAGGGTTAGGCTCACTCCGCTTCAAATAAAAATGAATAATTACATAATCGCATACATTAAAAACAACAACTGGTGAAAACTTGACCTCACCCACCCAAGTACTATCTACCCTTGTCTAGCCATTAACATTATCTAGAAGAATCGAGCGTTGTTTATCAGTCAGAGAGGATTGAGAATGAGCCGGTATAGTATAGTTCGAAGAAATGGGTCTTTAGGGCAGTTTTGAAGGCCTAACTGTCGTTGTATTGCGGATGTGTAATAGGGGAGAATTCCATTGTTTTTGGGCACAGAAATAGAAAGATCGTTCACAATATGTTATAGTGCGTGTTCTGGAAACAGAAAGAATACGCGTGTCTGCGGAGTAACGAAGCTTTCGAAGGAGTAAATAGAGAGTAAGAAGTTTAGTAACATAGAAAGGGCAGAAACCCGTGAAAAAGTTGTGACAGAAAACAGAGAGCTTGTAATCAATGCGTGCCTGTATGGGGAGCCAAAGAAGTAAGTGAAGTATTGGCGTGACGTCATCACGTTTCTTTGACTTTAGAACTAACTTAGCGGCTGAGTTTTGAACTTTCTGCAGGTTTTCAATTAAATACTTAAGAAAACTGATTTAAAAATTAAATTTAAAATAGTAAGAATTAAAAAAAAAACACTAATTACTTGATTCCACTGTTGAGGCAATCCTTTATAAAAAATATAGAGACGGGATCATCCGCTTAAATTATAGAAGAATCCGTTATATGCGGCACAGTTTTTCACAGTAAAAATAAATTTGGCACGACTGTTAAAACACGTCACAGTACAACCATAAGAGAACTATTCATTTGATAACCAGTCGTTTGAACAGCAAACGAACGTGTCACGGATCAGTGTGGTAGCCAGTATTTGTTGATTTAGTTTTACCAGATGAATGACCAAATTGGACATTCAAACAATCGATGGCACTGCTTTTTTTCGATGGTTACCATGGTCACAGAAATGCTTTTTTTCACAAAACGTATATCACTTCAGATGTTAAAGTTCCTAGGTCCTATTTAAAATAATCTTTATAATCTCCAAGCTACACGTGATAGCTAGCATTTTTACTTGCTTTAGCAGTCTGTTTAATATAATCTCAAAACAAGTCATTAAAAAACATGATCTCGTAGCGATGGAAACCAAATGCCAGAATATTTCACAAGGGTTATATCAGGGGCACAATCGTGTGAGGGATAAAAACCAAACTGAATCTCGTACATGGGCCACACACAATCAAAATAATTAATATTTTATGTTTTCAATTGTTAAACAAAACTTAAGTGGTGGGTTGATGGCAACACAGAGGGTCGTCACCATCCTTTCACCATCCATTAGATGTTTGCTTATATCATAGGAGGTCCCCAACATCAATTCACCACCCATTAGATTTTGCTTATGTCATAGAGGGTATTCAACATCCATTCACCAAGTTTTAGATTTGGCTTATGTCATGGACGGTCCTCAACATCATTTCAGCAAGTTTTAGATGTTGCTTAAACGAATAGACGCTTCGCTCATCCAAAGGAGATGAAATATAAGTGCCGTTTAAACCTGATGATAAAGTATTTATTTTATTAATATTTTACAAATAGTTGAAACAAATTAATAGCATCACCTCCGATTTACGCGCGTTCTGTAATTTACTTTTCAAGTAATAATAAAGTCAAAGCCTGGGAGAGAGAGATAGAGAGAGACAGAGAGACAGAGAGGGCGTATTAGAGAGAGAGACAGAGAGAGAGAGGCGTATGTGATAGAGAGGGCACAAGTGAGAGAGAAAGGGCGTATGTGAGAGAGAGAGAGGGGGCGTAAATGAGAGTGAGAGGGCATATATGAGACAGAGGACTATGTGAGAGAGAGAGGGCATATTTGTGAAAGAGAGGGCGAAGAGAGAGAGAGAGAGAGAGAGAGAGAGAGAGAGAGAGAGAGAGAGAGAGAGGACGTATGTTAATTGTTATATGTTCATTTTAATTTTATTTTTGAATTATTATTTTTTTGCACTTAATGAATTTATTTCCTGGAAATTTAACTAAACTTTTAAACTAACATCTATTTTCCAAAACAAAGTATTTTAAAACTGTCACTTAGTCTGTTGCATCATCCAAAATTGGTTGCGAGTTTCAATTTTATTTTATTTTATTTATTTAAAGCTAACTCCGCACATACACAAGGTATTTATAATTTAACCCGTTAAATTACATCAACTCCTGGTAAGTAAAAATTGATGATGCGATAAACATTCAAATTATTCAGACGAGTGTTGCATTCCGCACGCTCCGGAAGAGGCTCGGTGAGCAAAGGGTTCCTTATCTTGTCCTCAAACTAAAAATGTATAGTTTAATCTTATTAACATCTCTCCTGTATGCTAGTGAGACATGGACAGTGTACATCAGCGTCTAGACAACTAAAACATGTCCATTCTACGCTGACAGCGAAAATTTATGGCATACGATGTCATTAAAAACATCCACCATGTAGAAGTCTTAAAACGGGTTGAATGTATCAACACAACATTTCGTTTAAAAAAAAAATCAAACCAGATTGGCAATGAATGACCAAAATCCTTGACTTCACAATTCCCCAAAAAATTAGCTTGGGAAATTGTTCACTGGTAAAGGCTCAAGTAGTCAACAGAACAAACGCTTTAACGATTGTCTAAGAGCATCAATCAAATCCATGCACATTGAAATGGGTTGATGGGGAATGATTGCTGTGCATCGTTCAAGAGGTAGACTCACTGTTGCAGCACACTCCACAAAGAGTATACTTTCCGCTCACACCCAAAGAAAGCGCTCGGAAAGGAAAAGCAGAATCGTATACCAATCCAATCTAGGACCCCAAACCACATTATGTATATTACGTGCGGGAAGGCTTTCCGGATACAAATAGCACTGAGAAGCCACCTGAGTTCTCGCCGTGGAATATTGCTTTCCTCATCTTTGCTTGCTAAGGGTGAATAACAAAAGATAATTTACATAGATCGCGTGAAAGTATTTTGGAATATGTGTCCATTATTTGATGTAAATGCACTGAGTATTGTCTGTGACAATAAGGATAATAATAACAATAAACAAAAGAGGCATATCAAATAACCCACACTTTAAAAAAAAATCTGCTTTAAAAAATTGACGATGTACATCATGTATTTTTAAAGAAATATACGGTAGAATCCGGTTATGTCAAAAACCAATATGGCGGCAATATGTGCTTGAAATTTCTTTATGTATATTATGTGCATTAAATGTTGTTACTTCTGTAAAAAAAATAACAATAATTAAATATTACAGTTTTTAGAGCAATTTTCAAATAAAAAAATGAAATCAGAATAAACTGTTTAGCTTTATTAAATTTTGAATT